AAAAAAAAAAAAAAAAAAAAAAGACTATGAAAAGGGTCACAGAAATTAATTTGGCATTGATGAGTAAAATGAGAGTGGTAGAGGGGGAGGGGACAGACAATGAAGACTGAGGAGTGAAGGTAAGTTTAAAAAACACTGAAAACAAAAAGTATGGGAAATATGGCTGATAAAGGGAAGAACTAAAAACTGAGCAGCAGCTAGAGGGAGAGGCAATGTTGAGGGAAAGTTTTTTAGAAATGAAAATGACAAGTGTATTTACAGAGAGACACAAAGGAGCCAACAGAAGAAAAAAATCTGAAAATACATAAAAAAGAAACAATTTTTTTCTGGAACAAAGCCCACAAAATTGCTAGAAGATACGGGATTGAAAAACCACAAGTGGGCCAGTGCGGCAGCCCTCGCCTGTGATCCCAGCACTGTGGAAGGCTGAGGCAGGCGGATCACCTGAGGTAAGGAGTTCAAGAACAGCCTGGCCAACATGGTGAAACCCCATCTCCACTAAAAATACACAAATTAGCCGGGCATGGTGGCAGGTGCCTATAATCCCAGCTACTCGGGGCCAAGGCAGGAAATCGCTTGAATCTGGGAGGCGGACGTCGCAGTGAGCGGAGATCGCACCATCGCACTCCAGCCTGGGGGATAAGAATGAGACTTTGTCTCAAAAAAATAAAAATAAAAAAAATAACAATAATAATTAGCTGGGCATGGTGGCACACATCCCAGCTACTTGACTTGGGAGGCTGAGGCAAGAGAATTGCTTGAATCCAGGAGGTGGAGGTCGCAGCGAGCTGAGATGGTACCACTGCACCCCAGCCTGGGTGACAGGGGGAGGCTCTATTTCAAAAAAAAAAAAAACGTAGCATAAGTGGACCTGCTGAAAATCTAATTTCAATAAATAACCAGTCATTTGTGCAAATATATGGCTATAAGATTATTCATCATAATATTATTTTTATTTATTTATTTTTATTCTTATTATTTTTTTGAGATGGAGTCTCCCCAGTCGCCCAGGTTGGAGTGCAGTGGCTGGATCTCGGCTCACTGCAACCTCTGCCTCCCGGGTTCACGCCATCCTCGTGCCTCAGCCTCCCGAGTAGCTGGGACTACAGGCGCCCACCACCACGCCC